TGATTATCAATTAATACACAGCAAAATATAATATTTTTCGTTATTTGAAACTAATTGATTCTTACCGATTTGCTCGTTAGATGGATTAGTGGATACTTTTTTTGAATTTTGTTGAATTTTGACATAGCAATTACGGTAGAGTAGTTAGGAACGAAGGAGAAAAATTTAACATTTTAGTATTCTATTTTCGTTAATTCGATATAGAAGGAGTACTTTCATGCCGTTTTCTTTAAGTTTTCCTATTCTTGTATTTGTCTGTGTTCCATATTATTACCTTAGAGTTAAGAGTAAAGAGTAACTTGAAGGATGTTTTGTTGTTTTAGATCCCAAGTTGACAAGGATTGTGCACCATTTTGGAGTTCAATAGTTTTTCTTTCTTCCATGCAGGCTGGTCGGGTTGAGATGCATTTTCATCATCGCAGTAAAGTGCATGACTCTCTCATTAATGATCCAGTGCAGAGTCCTCGGTCTGTCTTTGGTCCAACTAATGGCCTTTTTCACAAGGTATGTGACTTTTTCTTAAGATGTTCCGAGTCTTTTAACTATTTAAGCTCATTATATGGGAAACTTCTAGAGTTTTCAGGACCCAGAGACATAGTCCTATACAATGTAGTAGGTGCAAGGAAATGAGATCACCCCTTATAATTCTCTCATAATATTATAAATGCTGTTTTTGCTGTCATAACCCTTACATAGGAGGTCATAGAGTTGTCTAGAACATGGACTTTGCACAGTAGGTGCAAGAGATGAGATTCCGTCTTATGTTGGAGGGATGTAGTTCACACGGAGTAGCTGAACATTGTCTTTCCCTTTATATGGGTAAGTTGGTGTTGCCTGAGACACGTCTTTTACAATATAGTAGGTGCAGGAAACTAGACTCACTTATATTATAGAAATCTTAGAGTATTGGGTTTATATTCTTATGCTATGGAATACATACAGGAAGACTGACCTTTTAAGGGTCAGGATTCTTGGCTGTCATCATTCTGCAAAATTGTTTGGGTACTTTAATTTTTATGATACTGCAACTCTCTTGATCTTTGTATTTAAAGTTTAAACACTAGTCGTCTATTTCAATTGTTTCTGGTTATTATCTAATCTTGTTGCAATTCTCTACAAAATGTAGTTTGAAACCTCACTTCAGTTTTCCCATTCTGCTATGGAGGGGGCAACAAAGTGGGACCCAGTTGGCTGGACAACAGCGGTGGAAACAAAGAAGATATATGGGTCTCAGAAGCTTCTTGATCACCAAGTGAATACTGCTTCAATGATTTCTTCTCTTGAGGCAGAACTAGAATGTGCTCGTGCCCGAGTTCATCAACTTGAGACGGAGCGGCATTCATCGAAAAAGAAACTCAAGCAGTTCTTGAGGAAACTCAGTGAAGAAAAAGCAGCATGGCGGAGCAAAGAGCATGAGAAAATCCGGGCAATTATGGATGAAATGAGAGCTGACTTCTCCCGGGAAAGGAAAAACCGAAAGAGGCTGGAAATTGTCAATTCCCAATTAGTTAATGAATTGGCTGATGCCAAGTTATTAGCAAAACGTTATTTGCAAAATTTCGAAAAGGAAAAACAGGCTAGAGGGTTGATAGAAGAAGTGTGCGATGAATTGGCCAAAGAACTTGGAGAAGACAAGGCTGAAGTTGAGGAAATGAAGAGAGAATCTCTGAAGTTCACAGAGGAAGTAGATGAAGAAAGAAAGATGTTGCAGATGGCTGAGGTTTGGCGTGAGGAACGGGTCCAGATGAAACTAGTTGATGCCAAGGTGATGCTTGAAGAGAAGTATTCCCAAATGAACAAACTCATTGGAGAACTAGAATCATTTTTGGATTCCAGAGGTTTGAGTTTTGATGTGGAGAAGATGAAAAGAGCTGAGCAACTCCAACAGGCCGCTGCCTCTGTTAGCATTCGTGATATTAGAGAACTCACTTATGAACCACCAAATCAAGATGATATTCTTTCCGTTTTTGAGGACGTTCATTTTGTTGAACCTGATGAAAAGGATATCCAGCCATGTACATTTAGTCCTCGCTCTCTCAGTCCTGATGGTGTTGTTTACGACTTTCGCAGAATTTCACATGCATATGTCAATCAGAGTGATAATTTAGAGGAAGAGGGAAGTGAGTGGGAAACGGTGACCAATCTTGAGGAGCAAGGGTCCAACTATTCTCTTGAAGGAAGCATTTCATCCGTGAACAAGAATTGCCGGCACAGCAATGTATCAAGAAGTAGAGCAGACTCAGAGGGAATTGGTGATGATGGCGCATCGGTTTCAGAGATTAGTGAAGTTTGTTCTGGACCAGCTCGGCAACTTACAGAGTTGTCATCTGCATCTAAACTTTGGAAGTCACGCCCGAGTAATGGAGACAATTTCAAAATAAAATCACTAGAAGGATCTAAAGGGAGGCTGTCAAATGGGACCATTCTTTCTCGGGATCATGGTTCTAGTAAAGGTGGCTTTAGCCCCTCGGAACTTGGCCAGGAGTGGAGCTCACCTGAGTCTGGCAACTCACAAATAGCACGCGGGATGAAAGGTTGCATTGAATGGCCGCAAAACTCTCAGAAGAAAAGCTTAAAAACAAAGTTATTGCAGGCAAGAACAGAGAGCCAGAAGGTACAGCTGCGCCAGGTCTTGAAGCAGAAGATCTGAGATGAGCGTTCTTAATACATGAGCTCTGAAGCCTCCTGCTAACAGATATTGTGGAAAGCTCCAAACTTCAAAGTTGTATTATCATTTTCTCCAAATCTAATTAATTAAATAGTATATTTAATTTAATATCATATTTTATTTATGTAATGTAGAATTAAAAGTCCAACCCTTTAATTTCTTAGTTAATTATAGCATTGCAAATTCCCCAAGTTTTTATTAATTAATGCAAATTTTGTTCACCTATTAAAAAAAAACTTTTCTTTCTTACACCAAAAAGTCCGAAGAAATTGAAGAGTTGTGATGAACTCAATACATACTATAGGTCAAATTCATATAGATAGAGAAAAGTGTATATGATCATACTCCAATATGAACACATAAAAATGTAAAATATATTAGCTAAAAATGTTATAAAGCTAACTAAATTAAATAGAATAACTTTTTGAAGACAAGAAATTAAAGTTATTGTTCATGGATTTTGTATATACTAGTTCTCGACACGTGCATTGCACGTTTGTCCTCTAATTGATATTAGAAAATTTTAATTTATATAGCTAAGTTTAAATCTAAGTCCTTTCATATGTAAGTTCAACATAAGAATATAACTCTGCATAAAATATAACATGAAAATCTTGTGTTAGATGTTGGAGGTTTGATATATTAAATACTTCATGAAAAATAAACATTTTATTTTATTAGAGGAATTAATATATTTTAATTACTAAACATAAATTTTAATAATCAAAAAAGAAATTGTCTATAAAAAAGATACGTATAAAGAAAAATATTACAAAATGTTTGGACGGTATACCATCAAATTTATAGAAAAAATTACAATTTCAAACGAAAAAAAGAAGTAAATAAAGACATGACATCTATAAAAAAAGACATCACGTTAAAATGTATAGACAAAAATATTTTCATACTAATTGAATTACATTTTGTTAAAAGTAGACTTATTCTAGACAAAACATGACTTACTCTAGACGAAACATATCATATGTATAAAAAATTATAATCATATAATAATAATAAATAAGACAAACAGAAAAGAAGGCATGAATATGTGAAAAAAGATAAACCATATTTCTTGAACTATATATTAAAGTGTGTGTGTGTGTGTGTATGTGTGTGTGTGTGAATTCGAAAACAATATTATTCAATGTATCATTTAGTTATTTTTTTATTTTTACTTTTGTACTTATTTTGTACCTCTCTATAACAGTTAAGTGCATGTATTTTTTAAACATTTGAGATTACATATAAAAAGGAAAAAGTACAAATATGCTGGTTTAAAAAAAATAAATGATTATCAAACAATGAAAAAAACATAATTATTATTTTATGGGATTTAACATGTTTATCCTCAAAATAATTAATGATAAATACAAAATGTGATTAGCTTTACTATATATATATATCCTAAAAATAGAAGAAAGGGTGAATACAAAAATACAGTAATCAACTACGAAGTTATATCTAAAAACTCAAAACGATGGAGATGTGAAAAATAAATATTACTTACAACTTCATATTGGAATATATTCATCTTGTAACTTTCATAATTTACATATTTCTCAAAAAAAAAAGATGAATATGCAAGAAATTTTAAAGAATACAAATAAATAAAATAGTAAGAATTCTTATAATTACAAACTGGTAATGAAAATTTTACAAGGAATGTAGACTAACCTACTGTAGAATGCAAGATGATTACAAACTTGAATAAAACAACGAATATATATAATATGGTGTGAATGTGTTTGATAGACTCTTCATTACCCCACTTATCTTACAAATTAAAATTGAAAAATTATTACACTCTTCATTATCTACATTTAATTAGTACATGAATATATGATGCATTAAGATCTTATTTGATGCATGAATTGAAATATAATTTTTACTTAATATTTAATTAATTAAACAGATATTAATATTAATTTATTTTAGAGGTAAAATAAGGGTAAAATGGTAACTTAACTTTGAGGTTAGAAGCTTCCCACTTATAATAATATATGATGTAAAATTGTGAAATCTCCCTTATATAGTTATGAAGATAGATAAGAATTTAATTACTCAAACATGGTCTTTATCTCTATTTGTATAGTTGAATTGTTGTTTTGTTTATAACTTGCTTTTAGTTTAAGATTTTTTTTTGTGTTAAAAAACAGATTGATTGTTACATTAGATTTTGTTATCATGAAGAAAGGTGTTCTTTGTATTTGTATATCATTGTTGTCTTTCAAATAGCGCGATAGAAGTGTTGTGTTGAACAACATCTACCTACGTTAACCATGTCAAGTCTATGACTCCTCTACCATTTCTGAAGATAATAGCAAGTACGTACTGATCCCTTTTCAAGACAGAATGGTGGTATATACATGCATGCTGATAATTAGGAGTATATAATTGTTTCAAGCATATCCATCTACTGTTTTGCTCAACAAGAGTAAGAGTTTCAAACACAGAATTTACATTTTCTCTCCTTTAGGATTTAGTAGTATTACTAGTTAACTCTCAGATTTCTACTCTACAAATTGGACAACTTCCATGTCTGGTTAGCCACTCATCTATGCATTGTGTATGGAATGAATGTTTGCAACTTGGTAGCACCCTTGCCGACTCCCCGTCTTTCAAATCCTACAATATAATAATTGATGTAAATTCATTAGAGTTAGAAAAAACACTGTAGATTAAATAATTTTTTATACTGACGATCACCTGAAGGCAAATTGCACAAGTCACTTGTTGAGATGTACTCACTGAACAGAAATAGTACTTTGGCAACTTCTTTATCACCTCTTGTGATAACCCTTTGGTCGCATTGATATCAAAGATGTCAGATATTTCCCTCAAACTTGACTCTACATGAGTAGTAACCTGAAATTTTTATTTTAAAATAATAACCCAAAAATGTATGTGTCTAATAGAAACAATCACCACAAATTATTAAAAAGTTTCTGCTATAAAAGATGTCTTACTTGCCACTGATAAGCCTTGAGAACAGCAGGACTAACCCATTCCATGAATACCTTTCCATTTACTAGACTACATACAAGTGCAACCTGCAGTATGTATATTTTTAGTACATCAACAATTTATCTATCTATACAAACAATATTTTTTAACCTTAGAAAATGATTCTCCGTTAAGTATAAGTTCGACTAATTGGACAGTTGTAACAGCTCCGGTAACAGCACCAACACCGGCCCCTCGGAGTAGCCCCGTCTCTGTTGTCTGTCCCTTAATTGCTCCGGTCACTATCCCTACTGTCGCTCCTCCTGATTAAATAACTAATTTCAACATTACTACGAAAATATTAAATTTTCAACCGGATTTCGGTTTGTCCAACACAATTCTCATAGTAAATACAACTTCTCTAAACATTGAAAAATCAATAATATGGAATTGCAAAGGTACAACACACACAAACTATTTATAGTTTTTTTTTTCTTTTTCATAACCAAACGTCTTTGTGAAAAGAAAAAAAAAGATATACCTAAAGCAAGAATGCACATAAAAAGAGCCCAAATAGCATTCTTTGTGACCATCAACAAGAGTCCAGAAGAAAAGCCGAAGAAAACCCAAGTGAAAATACACTCTTTACTCTTTACCAGTAAAGTATAAATGCAAGTAAACAAATGGTTTGTCATTTGAAAGAATGAGCCACAAAACTGTTACAATATGGCAAGAAAATAATAATAATAAAGAAGGTAGAATTAGAGAGTGAAATTTTTTTAGGAAGAAAGAACAAGTGAGTAGTTGAAAGTAAAGGCAAAGTGCATTTATTTATAGTACTTATAAGAGGAAAATGCATTTAGATCTTAGAGCTACCACTCACGTGCTAACTCATGCATCTGTTGTATCATCCATAGTTAGGATCATGGCCTCACGTTCAAGATTAACGGTGCGTTTCGAATCATTAACTTTGTTTTATGGTGTTTGGTATTTATAAACTACTATGGCCTGAGATAGAGGATATAAATGAAATCAGTATCAAAATCTCTAGTTTAGAATGAAGAAATATTTAATTATCACTCGACCAAAATCCTAGCTAATTATTTTTTCATAATATGAGTTCAAAGCATAATGCGTACAATGGGTAGTTCAAATTACGTACGCACATGTGTGCACTCAATAGAAGTAATCACCCTTTAAAACTATACAAAATGCCAATTAATTCATCATGCACTCATATAATACAGTACAGTTACAACTTCCACGTCATTGATGCTTAAAAGTTTCAAGAATTGAAATGATAATAAATTAAATTAAATTAAAAAAACCATATACTAGTCTAACTTAATTTGCTTTACAAAGAATGTACGGACATAGTAACTGTCACAATTGAAAATACAATTTAATGTGCCCAACCCACCATTCTTCTACCTCTCTTTACCTACTTATAATTTTAATGTAATAATAATTATTAATTAGGTGCATGCATTGTACTTACTATGGTTTGAATTGTTATTGTAAGATCAGTTAGCTAATATAGAGAACAGTGACAAGGCTGTAGCTTCGATATTGTCTATATTGCGGTCCAGTTCACCAGTGATATTGTCCGCTCTAGGCTTGAAATTACGTGATTTTAAAATGTGTATAACATCTTCTTACATATATATACAACATCTTTAATGTATTTTTATCGATATGAAACATTATTATCATATGTTGGGGTGTCACAAAATCTTACGGTGCTACAACTAAGTTGTTGCATTTCCTTTCTGTTATAAAATCAAGCTAAAAAGCAACAATAGAAAATAATTGAGAGATGTAGAGAGGAAATCAAGAAGAGAGATTTTCTAAAACAATTTCCACATGACTTTTCACCCCCTCTTTATTGGATTTAGAAGTAACTTTAATTTGGAGGGGTCACAATGCAACTTACTTTTTTATTTGTAATAATATAAAAGGGACTATATTTAGTTCCTAAGTTGCAATATAATTGTTTTGTAATATAATCTTGAATTTGGCTATAGTCTAGCTAGTGATTATAGGATCAAGGAATTAGAGGTAGCTAGTATTTTAGGTTACAAGTGTTTGTAATTTAAATTATGTCAAGACATACAATATGTATACAAGAGTATAGTCATGAACTTTTTTTCATCCTTCTTAATCAAACTATCATCCTCTTTTTAGGATAATCTTTGGTAAATATATTCATATTCACCCCTCTCTTTGTTGCAAGAAAAAAAAACATATTATATGTATAGGTTACGTTCTTTTCACATATGATCATGTATATGTTAGGTCCACTTCTACCTTGGAATATCTCTCCATTTTTTCCCATCATTATGTGCATCCTCATCATCTTATGACAAGTTGTAGTCGAAGCCCCACGTAGCTAGCTATAATTTGAGGATACAAAATTGTTGGTTAAATTAGTGAAATTTGATCCTCCTTTCTTGTGTTGTATGCATAATTACATGTTATTATATATTAATGTTGGATATTAATATTAAGACGTCTGAATTTGAGTGTATCTGTATCACATTGATGATTAATGGTTATTATGGGTGCTAATTAGTGAGAATTATGTTTACTGATGATGGTAGTTTTGAATAGTAGTTATTGAGTTGTCATAATGACCTTGTAGTGATTACTTGTAATAGTTAATTGTGATAGTTGATGAGGAGTGGTTGACGATATATAGTAAATGCATGTTGAGGTGATTATCGTGAGTGATTTGAAAGTGTAATGATGATTGAAAATAATGATTATAAACATTAGTTTAACGGTAACAGTAATAATTTATGATGATGATTACGGCTAATGATACAGGTGATAGGTACATACGTAGTTGATAGTGGTGGGTGGAGGCAACAATATTTAACATTGAAAAAGAATACACAGAACACAGTATTAAACTTAATGCCAATTTTATAGAAATCTTTGAATGGGCATTTTAATGATATTAATTTTTTTTTAATAAATATAACCATTCAAATTTATTCATGCTCATACAAATATTTTAAAATTATAAAAACAAACACACATAATAATTTCAATTTCAGACTTGTACAACAAACAAATTTCATGACTAAAATCTAAATAATGTTAAGTTGGTAAAAGAATAAAAAATATTTTCTTCAGAAAACAAACTATTTAAAGACAAGTAAAATAACTAGCTCAATGAAATTAGAAAGAAAAAAAAACAAGTTGCATTGTCTTTTTCCACCCTTACTTATTCTCACAATTATATTTTAAATATACACAAATACTTTTAGAATCATATTGAATACAAAAAAATAAAATAAAAACTTATTTTATTATACCAAAAAATTTATTTTCCTACGTATCAAACTACCAAACCCTAAGACTTAATGATGGAAATAAATGAGACCTAGCTAATATAGCACATATGAATTGCAAGAGGATTGAATAGAAAGAATCTATATTTGAGATTGGCAACGACAATGGTTTTCTAGCCAATTGTTTTGAGCAAATTTCAGAATTCCTGTCAGATTGAAATCACTTTCAAAATAAAGACTTGTAATAACACAATATTATTTATAAAATTTACTAATTTTATTTAGGATTTTTTATCAATATTGTAGTAGTATTTTTTTCATCTACTAGATATATACCTGCATGAAGATCAACTTTTCAAAAGTAAATTGTGATAACTACTTGGGATGTTAAGAGTATTGATCATTTACTTTAATCCGATTACAATTAGATTTTATCGATAATTAATTAACAATAATATAATAATTGTTGCTAAAATATATTTTTAATTGCATTAAATATTTTTTTAAATATTCTTAAAACTTATAATAATATTGAATCTAATAAAAATCAACTACTATGATAAAAATATATTTTTCTTTATTAATACATATATTTACCAATGAAATTTATTTTTATTATAGTAAACAAATACTGAAACTAGCTCAAAAAATACTAGATTAAATTGTGGCCGGTTAATTTTCATAATTTGTGGCTCATTTTTGTTATACTTTAATTAAATGATACTTACTTAATATAATATCGCGTAAAATGAAACTAATAACTAATAAAAACAGCGTGGGGAACTTTGAAAACCAGGTTCTTATGGATAAGTGAATGAAAATAACTTGGAGCTAACAGTATTCTGTGGGCAGCTTGACTTTAAAAAAATGAAATATTTAGTGGGACATTTTAGATATGGGTTTTCACATCACAATCAAAATTAATAAAAGAGTGGTCCACTGACTCATCTTACAATATACATATTTATGATACATCTCAAGATATTTTTTTATTTAATGTACGAACTTTAATCAGACATGCACCCCACATCCGCACCTTATTATAAAATGATATTCTTAGTATTTTAATTTAGGTTATATAATTAGAATTTGAGCTCATAATAGTGAATTTAAAATTTTTATTTAGGAGATTTGAATTTGTAAGCCGAAATACTAAGGTAAATTTTAACTTTTAAATAACTAAATCAACATCTACTCTTGTGTTTAGGAGATTCAGAATCACTGTATTAATTTGTTCTCGAATTATAGACAATTTTAAACAGTATACATTTACTTGATCAAATAAATATAGATACATTTATGATCTGTTTACAGGATATAGTAAGTGGTCTCAAACTATTGCAGAAACATGAAATTTTTAATAAAAATCGAGATAAATATTAAAAATTATGTTAAATTTGACAAGAATTTAGAGATGAGTTTCACTTATGTCGCACAACCTAGGATGTGTTCAAAATCCACTTCTTTTTAGATAAAAATTTAATAATTACCTCTTTAAATATAATATAAACTTTTTATCAAAAAATTCGAGTAAACATCCGCATCGTAACTATATCCCCTATCCCAACCCTCTTTCACTTCTGCACCCGTAACTATATCCCCTATCCCAACCCTCTTTCTTCTTCATTACTCAATTAAATGTTTTGTGCAATTTAGCCTTTCTTTTTCTCACTTTTATTATTTTTTATTTATTTTTACGTCACAATCAAGCTAGTAGATAGAGGCCAAGATAAGCCTTCTATCAGACTATGTTCGATTATATCGGCGTGTTTGATATGAAAAAAATATATTTACTGTTTCCATATTTAGTTAATTTTTTTAGAAAAATATTTTTTTTTGTATGAATAAGTTTTTAAAACTTTTTTTTTGAAAAAAAAAGGACTTTTTTGATAAAGGTTAAGAAAAATAAATTTATATATAATATTTTTATTATATTCTCTCTATCTACTCAACAGCTCAGCCCCTATCCTTGACCATCCCACCTTCGATCCTAGAGTCTCCACCTATATAAATAATATATGTATATATATATATATATAATCTAACTAAAATAGTTTTGATATTAGTAATTTGAGAATGTCGAAATAAATATTACTTATGATATGCTTCATTTTTCAAATATTATTACATCTATCTTTTTGTTGGAAAAACGGCAAACAAAAACTTCTTGACTTCTTTTTCAGCTGAAATTTTGCTTATATTTCTTTTTGTTTTCCACTTTTTAATTTTTGTATATCCTTTATCAACAACATTATAAAAGTATTAGTAAGCTTTTAGAAAGAAACTTTTTTATTAGTAAATGTTAAAGAAATTGAACACCCACAATTATTAATAATATCAAATACAATATAATACAATAACAAACAGTATTCAAGATGAATTCTTGGGCCTAAACTTGATGTTTCACTTTTCATTATCAGCCCACAGACAAAGGTGATTATTGTTTTAGTATCGAGTTTATTTGTACTTAAATATTTTTTTTATGAAATAATAAATTATATATTTTGAATTAACAAAGTAAAAATATGTTCTTGTTATAAAATAACAATCAAATGTTAAATATGACATAAAATGACAATGTTATATATTGAGACTTTTATTTTATAAATAATGACCTTTATGTTAGATACGACTTAACCTTAGGGCTACTTTCTTGTCTGTTGTTGCGTTTGAGTTTGTGTGGCTGCTTTAGACACACATCATTTAAGAATACTTATCATTATTCCAATAAAATATATGAGTAAATTTAGTGAAATATTAACATATTCTTTCTTTTAGAAAAATATTATCATATAAATTGTACGTAATAAAATTAGTTGTGTGTGTGACCTTATTCTGGTACTCATATGACATACACAAATCTTAACATGTACAACGTGTTCTTATATAGGGTCTTATCACACTCAATTCAAATTGGTTCTCTTTTTTTGTGCTGGGGCCCTCTTAATATATCATAATATCTTCTTGTTTTTCTTTTGTTGGTTGCTTTCTAAACGATCACGAATGAAACAATTCAAGCAAACTCAATAACTTTGATTAAATTTTAAAAATTTATAGTAAGAATATATTTTCTTAGTTCCGTTGCTTATTTTTATGTTTTCAATTTTTTCTTAATAAGATATGTGACTCTACCCCTAATAAAAACTTACTCTATAAATATTCTAGTGTGTGTAAATGTTATTACTCTTAATAGAATATTGTTGTAACAGAAATAATAATAATGGAGTATTGTTAAGTTTAGTTCACCTATTATGTAAACATATATTTACTTTTATTATAGCAGAAATGTACAAGTGTTCAAGAAAGGATTAAAAATGATTAATGAATAAACTATGTACATCCACCTAGTGCAGAATTAGCCCCACAAAGACAGCTCCAGCCATACCTACTACAAAACTTGTCATTCTATAAAAGAATAATATACAGTTTTAAAAAAATTAAAGCTAATTATTACCCTTCAGCTTCATTATATGTGATTTAATATACAGTTTTAAAAAAATTAAAGCTAATTATTACCCTTCAGCTTCATTTTATGTGATTTAATATACCGTTTTAAAAAAATAAAGACTATTAAAATTTATGGTTTAAAATGAATCATAAAAATTATTGTAACTATAGATCATTTTATTAAGAGCAAATATTACTTAATGTAAAAGTATATCATTTGTAGGACCAACTAAAAAGAAAAATAAATCATATAAATTTGAATAGAAAGAGTAAGGCTTAGGTTCATTTCGGTAAAATGTGTAAAAATAATATTGAATATGTTAATATTGTGTATAATTAATATATGTACTATTAGTTATATATAATTTAGTATATTCTACCAAATGACGGGATATATTGAGATATCTTAGGATTAATTTTGAGATAAACTATAACGTAAATCAAATCAATAAATTAAATTTAATCTTAAAACATTTTATTCTGTTCAATTCATAACTGTAATTATGAATAATTTAGTCCGCGAATCAAGTTTTATAATTATGGGTTGTAACAACCAACCTCAAAAAAATTATCCTTCCCAAAGAAATCTCTTCTTTTCTCCTCTTTTTTAGTACCTTTGTCAGTGGTTATACACTGTTTATGCTGACCAATGTTTCAGTGTTGTTAACTTTCCCCATAAGATTCAATCCAACTCATTAGGGGACAATTTTAGATATATTAACAATTCCAATATAGAATCTTGAATAATTCCTTAAAAAGTGTTTCTTTTTTTAGAATAAAAATCCAATCTTTTTGTGTATCACTTATATGGTGTCTTTAACTTTTAGATTCTAATTTTTCTTGAATCTCCATCTGGGGTTGTTGTTTTCTTGATTTCTGGATCTGCTGAGATAAATGGGTATTTGTTTGAGCAAAAGTAAACCAACAGAGTACAAGTCTAGTGCGCATCATAGATCAGGTGGGAGTGATGGGGGTAGGGGGCATCATCATGGAACCCATCAAACTCAAATTCAGTATACTAAATCAGCAGGCCCAGAAACTCAATCACCCATGAGAACTCAAGCAAGTCGTAAACCAGTAGAAACCATTTTGGGCAAGGCATTTGAAGATGTTAAGGCACACTATACACTAGGTAAAGAATTGGGTAGAGGTCAATTTGGGGTTACATTTCTTTGTACTGAAATATCAAGTGGTCATCAATATGCTTGTAAGTCAATATCAAAGAAGAAACTTGTTACTAAATCTGATAAAGCTGATATGAGAAGAGAGATTCAGATTATGCAGCATTTGAGTGGACAACCAAATATAGTTGCATTTAAAGGTGCTTATGAGGATAAGAATTCAGTGTGTCTTGTTATGGAGTTGTGTGCTGGTGGAGAGTTATTTGATAGGATCATAGCTAAGGGTCATTACACTGAAAGAGCTGCTGCATCAATGTGTAGAGCTATTGTTAATGTTGTACATGTTTGCCGCCTGAGAACTTTCTCTTGTCAGACGAGTGAAAATGCTGCTTTGAAGGCAACAGATTTTGGGCTGTCTATGTTCATTGAAGAAGGTTAACTAACTCTTCATTAATAATTATATTTTACTATCCTGCTGTTGTTGCTGCTATGTCTTTGTCAAGGGTTTGTTTGTATAAACTCTACCCCCACTTATGGAACTATAATGGATATGTTGTTGTATATAGCAGCTTTGGGATGAGTTCTAATGAAATCATTCCATATTTTTGTCTGCTATCTACATATCAGAAGTAATTAATTGTATCATATGCCAGCCTGCTAATCCAATCTAAAGATTTCTTTTTACTTTGTTTGGGTTTTGTGCAGGTAAGGTGTACAAGGATATTGTTGGGAGTGCTTACTATGTTGCCCCAGAAGTGTTGCGTAAGAGTTATGGCAAGGAAATTGATGTTTGGAGTGCAGGTGTTATGTTGTATATACTACTTAGTGGTGTGCCTCCGTTTTGGGCAGGTAAAGTCTAAGTGCATCATAATTATCCAGGACCAGTTGTGTTTATTGTTATATATATAAATGCAGAAACCGAGAGAGGTATATTTGATGCCATATTAAAAGAAGACATTGACTTTGAAAGTCAACCTTGGCCCTCTATCACAACTAGTGCCAAGGACCTGGTCCGAAAGATGCTCAATAAAGACCCAAAGCAACGTATTTCTGCTGCTCAAGTTCTTGGTACGCTGAGTTAGTAGCTACTATTGCTTTTCAAACAATTTACTCCTTTCTACTACTTACTTCATCTTTTGATTTGCCCGATGATGATAGATCATCCTTGGCTCAAGGTAGGTGGAGTAGCATCAGATAAACCATTAGATAATGCTGTCCTCTCAAGAATGAAGCAATTCAGAGCTATGAACAAACTCAAGACTTGCTTTAAAGGTAACATGTGACTCTGATTTCTTTGCTCTAACTCAATACAACTAACTATATGTATATCAATCTTCCATTTTATTCATTAACACTGGAACTACCATTGAGCTATGGTTTAAGTATCAGGTCATTGCTGAGAATCTCTCAGCAGATGAAATTCAGGGGCTCAAATCAATGTTCCATAACATTGACACTGATAATAGTGGAACAATCACTTATGAAGAATTGAACAGCGGATTGGCCAGACTTGGATCAAAGCTCACAGAGGCGGAAGTAAAGCAATTGATGGAAGCTGTAAGGCCGAGACACATCAACTGTTCACTTTGTTGTTCAAATGGTGTACACCATGAAATAACTAAATATATCTTGTCAACTTCAGGCTGATGTGGATGGAAATGGCTCGATCGACTATATTGAGTTTATCACTGCCACCATGCATAAACATAGACTAGAAAGAGATGAAAATCTATACAAAGCATTTCAGTATTTCGATAAAGATGGTAGCGGGTAAGTCCATTGTGCAAATGCAGCAGTGTGGAATTGTTAAATCAGTGGTGTTTTCTTTTGTATAATGCAGGTTCATTACAAGAGATGAACTCGAAACATCTATGGAAGAGCATGGAATAGGTGATCCAGCTAGTATAAGGGAAATAATATCTGAAGTGGACGCTGATAATGTGAGTTTGGTCACTCTTAAATCATTCCAAAAACTGTCAAACCTATCTTAACACGTATTGATTCTGTAAAATTTACAGGATGGAAGAATCAACTATAAGGAATTTTGTACAATGATGACAAGTGGAGCTAAACAACCAGGCAAGCTCTTCTAATAACACGAATCTCCTAGTCGTTGGAGGTAGTGATTCTTCAACGTTTGCATCATGGACTGCCCATATGATATGACAGACATCAAGTACATGAACAACCTGAACTAGTTGGAGCTTTTAACTTCTCCCTGTAAATTGGTGATTCCTGTTTCTGTTCTTTTTCTCACTATGTTGAATTGTCTACTCATTAGTTTTTTCTATTCCACAAAGAGCACAGAGGAAATGAGTGAAGAACATAAACTCTTTACTATTTGAATAGAGAAACAAATGACCTTGTAAATATATCTTGTGTTATTTTCAAGTGTTTTTATATGTAAAATAAACATCTCTTGTAAAAAGAAACTGTGGAACATCTTTCACCCACATTTTGTTTATTGTGCCTCTCCTCATAATCAAGTCACGCCATTTGATATCTAGTCTTATTCATTGTGTTGAGTGTTTGTTTTTACTCTTTCTTGGGTGTGACTTGTGAATTCAGAGTAATAAGACCTTAGTTTAGTTATGGTGTATCTCTGGAGGTATTTGTGACTAATCCCCTAAAAACCTATCAAACGATGCTTAAGTAACTATACATAAAGATGGTTCTCCTCTTGAAGCTAAGATCAAACCAGTTGTCACAGTTTACAAGCTGTCCCACGACAACTCATTGGACCATGGCAAAATGTGTCTTGCGCTACATATGTTTGTGCTGACCCCTGTGTTCCACTTTCGCATGAAGCACATTGAACTCGGTTATCATTTTTGCTTGATTTTCACTGTGAATGGTGTGTGTTTTTATATTCTGTCATATAAGAAAAGGTGTTATGATTCAGTCTTTTCTTTTCTTTCAAGACCACACCTATTTATAAGGCATGCAGAATTGTACGCCTTACTACAACTAAGGGTATATGCATCTTTGAGTTCGTTAAATATCCAATTTCAGTTATGAATCTTGTAACTGAAGTTTTCTTCAACTTCAAGTAAACAACTTTAGTTCTGAAGCTCAAAATAGATTGTATAAATGGCAGCGATTATGAGGTTGTTTAAAGTAGTGTGTTGAAAAAAATAAATAATTAGAAACAACCATAACTACATATGGATATTACATGAACCTTTGTGAAGAATATGAAGAGAGATGGCTTAGGTGCTGGAGTGAGCAGGCAAAGGATTCAAGTCCATTTCAACTTGGTTAATGGTCCACTGCATGCTCTCCAATTTCTGCTTGGATACGAGTCAAAGTTAGCTTGTCTCCGAAAAAACAAAAGTAATAAACTACAATAATTTAACAAAACTCGCATGAACTTTACTTTACCTTTACAATGTCATGGTACTGCCTAGCAATTTCATCAAAATGAGGATCAACGCCTTGATACTCACGAAGACGGGACGCCTAACATATTTCACAGTTAGGATCAAAAGCCATGCCCAACAACGTCAGACTGATTAATAAACTAGTTTGAAGGCAAAGCTATGATTTCATCCTTATTCAACACCAAACCAGAAAAATAGAGACCCACAGTGATTTCTCAAGTATTTGGCTACTTTTGGCAAACGAAATAGTGAGGACAAGCAAAAATATGCAGGAAAGAGATCCTATTTTAGTGAACTCCAATTTAATGACATAATTTACATGGAAAATGAAAACTGCCAATCAACAATCTGAATTGAGGCATTTTTGTGAAGATCAATACATGATATCAGGCTATCTTCCAACTGCATTTAACAGATTTTTTTTAACAAATAACAAATCTCGTGATAGTGACTAGTTGGCACATGGTTCGAAGCTCAATGGATAATGGGCCCGTCCCTCTACCCTTCTCCACTTAAATATCAGATATTTATCTAGCAAGGTTCAAAGTTGTGACATGTGCCTAATCCACTTGTCCTCTTATTACCACTACACGGCTAGATACTGTTATATAATCTGACTGATCAAGATTCGTTGATTCTCCCAAATGAGGTGTCAGAGTCCACGGAACAAGTGTAATTAAATCATGGAAATGTAGTACATATGAAGATGATCCATCAAATCAAAAAAAAAAGAGGATAAATTAGTATAAGAAAGTGTACCGCTTTCTCATATGCAAGTGATGCTTCTTCTGTTGCTTCAATCAAATACTTCCTGTGATGATGGTAAACTGAGTATACGTTCTTCAACATCGGAAACACAATAAGGATTTCTTAAGTCATGTTTCTTTACCTTATTTTGTGAAGGGCGGGAATAGTTTCTGGGGTATAAGTATCAAGTAGGAGAACATGTTCCAGAACTCTGCTAAAGAAAAGGATGTGTCAGGAGCTGTTAAAACTTGATTACCGTGACACAAGTATAACAAAGGCACAAGTATAGAAGCAAGATCTTAGACATTGTGTTCTTTATTTAACAGAATAACAGGATGTAAAGTGCTATTAAAGTTGATTATAAAACTGGAAATGCTAATTAATTTCTAGGGTTTTTAAGAGACTACTCTCATTGAACTTAACATTACCAAGTGAAATTTTTCAAGAAATTTCAACTTAATTTTGTGAAGTGCTTTTTGATGCACAAGTCTGAAATAGGAGAGTACGTTCCAGAAATTTGGTGAAAAATAGAAAATCATGGAAGCTGTTACACTTGATGACCATAACCATAGTATTTACTCTTTTTTTTTGAGAATAAGATCATAATATTAGTATTTCCAAGACATAAGTCTCAAAGCAAGAGATCCTGTTCTTTAGTGAGAGAATAACAGGATATAAGAAAATCTATTGAAGTTGATGGTGACCCTATTATGCTGAACAAATTTCTGCGGATTTCACATGAAAGCGAGAGAATATACTCTCATTGAAAGCAATACACTACTATGTGAGATTTCTCTAGGAATTATATCCTTCTGTATGAAAAGAAGAAAACCAATAGAACACACTAGTTCGAAAAGATCATGACATATAAGTAGTACCTATACCGCCTTGGACCCCTAGATGAGAAAATTCAAACCCTCCAAGGGATAATAAACAAGGTGCTTCCGATAGATAAAAGAAATAAAATGACACAAACTGCAACCAGGACTTCAACCACTGAAGTGCAAGATCACTACCTTCATAGTAGGCACTGGGCAATTGACAAGACCATCATAATAAGGCAGAGAAAGCAATACTTGACTGAGCTTTGCACCCAATCTCAACCCCACAATAATCAAAGAAAAGAAAGAGAACCCTTGTGAAAAATCAATAGCCATACAATGTTCACACAAATGAATAAAAGAAGTTATTCGACATTCGACTTTCCAAATCCCTTCAAGCCCAATAAATAAAAAAACACAAGGCACAAGTTAATACAACGAACCAGAACAAGAATCATGAATGTCATACCTTAATTTTGCCCTCATGGTCTCACATCTTTTGCACAGCCACGTCTTTTGTAGTTCATCCTATTAATGCATCCACAAATTATAGAAAGAATAAACATCTATCCGAAAGAGCAAAAGACCATCAGCAGTGTCAATTGTATCCAAAACAAGTGAAGTGTCTATCATAGTAAATTAGAGAAATCAGAATGAGAATGCCTTAATTTGGACAAAAGTAACAATAGCAGAATGGTAAACTTACATATTTATGTTGATGGTCCAACTTTATATCTTTGACAAGCTTAATAAGAACACCAAGGATCTGCTCCAAGACCTTAGATAGGCAACATATGAAGTCAAATATTTTCTCAAGTAACATGAGTCTTAATCAAATCTGTGGAAGTACCTTAGAATGGAAAGGCCGAAAATAAGAAATAGGTAGACAAATGTGATGCAAAACAGAGTTCTTACATTATAGTATTCTGCAAATTTTCTGTTAGATGAATATAAATCCTCGCGCCATGCTTCTTCTTCTCTTTCAATCTCCTCAGTGATCAACTTCACCCTGTTACATCATGGATTAGAAGTTCCGCCCCCTATATCTAAAAAGCTATCAAGAATATTATTAATGTTCCCATTTTAATTTGTTTGTCTTACTTTCCTTTTTACCGACTCAAAAAGAATGTTTCTTTCTATATTTAACAACTCTTTATACCCAACATCTTTAGTTTAAAGCTACAACATTCAAAACTCTTTTTTTTTTACTTCGTACCGAGTGAAACTAAGACAAACAAAATTGAAATGGAGGGAGTATATGATTAATCTCACTTTATCATTTTATGTTAAATGGTGTCCAGGCCAAATTGCAGATACACCAACTAGGCCACTACTACACTAGCATTGCTTGTTTGTTACCTACTACGCAGGTACAGGTTAACACTTCCGACCAAAACATAAATTGATGGGAAGGAGTTCATCTATAACCACCTCTGCTACATTCAACCTTGGTCCCTATGGTTGTTACTCCATACTCCAACTCTTCAACCGCTAGATCACCTCCTGGGGGGGAGGAACTGTAATACATGGTAATGGAATATTGAACAACATGACAAGTCAATCCATTCTTCAGAATACAAATTTTCTTTTTTACCAAATGATTTATTCTTTATGTAAATCCAATGTAGAGTCTTTTCTTTCATGGAACTAGGAGGAATATTCTTTTGAAATTAACAAGCTAAATAACATGCACAACCTGTTTTATAAATGATTCAGATAAATCATAAATTTAGAAACATAAGTTCAGAGGGAGAGACCTCTCTGGAAGTCTGGCAGCTGAATTTTGACTGGCAGCAGATATATCTGTAGAATCAAGGTAAGGTTATATACTTGTATTCTTACAGAAATCTTGATATGAGAACAACAACTTCTAAAAGTTCTGTTACTTAAATAGTAAGAGAACTACTCAACCAGCCTCTGAAGAATACACTGACATGAGTAAATCAAGAAAAAACTATAACCAAGAAATCCCTGAGGAGCAATGGGGCACAGTTTTGTGTAAATGGATAACAAGTAAATCTAGAACTTATGCACCTCAGCAGTAGATTTTTCCTATTTGCACCACAATTTGAAACATTACAATCAAATTGACTACATATTATACCCATTCAAATAATAATATGTATATAGGGGCTAATTATAAAACTGACATAGATGTCCAGGTCTTATTTATAAACGCTGGTTTTGTTTAAGAGGAAAACAAGTAGAAATTCGGCAACCAACAAACATATTGAAAGGCCAAGCACCAAGGGAAGATAAAGGAAGACAAATTAGCAACTTAAACTCACCAATGTCATCAATAGCAACTGCATCAGCTAACTTATCACATTTAGCATCTAACCGGCCACCAATCTCCCGTGAAAGTAATCTCTGGTATTCTGCCACGTCCTACAATAGCAGACATATAAGCATCTATGGGCGTGTAGAACTAACACTTGATAACCAGATGAATAGCGATTCCACGTTTGTAGGTAACAAGCAATCAAAGCATCGATAAATGTACACAAATAAAAGAC